CGACCCACTCACTTGTTTCATCCCCAGGGCAAAGCATCCAAACTCCTTCAGTCCTTGGCGTGGGGAGCGGACCTCCAGAGCTCAAACATAATACCCTAGCGTTAACTGACTGCACTGGCGGAGGTAGCAGGCGTTGCCACACCGCTGTCAGACACAGCCAGAGGGGAGAAACCAGTACCACTTTAAGAGAGATTTTAAGGATTTGGGGATTGGGGAGAGAATGGAAGAATAAGGAGGAATGAGAAAAAAAGATGTTTTGCAACCACCAACAGCAAAATAGAAAGAAATAAAATGGTAAAGAGAAGTGAGTGGGCAATTGGCGACCCACTCACTTGTTTCATCCCCAGGGCAAAGCATCCAAACTCCTTCAGTCCTTGGCGTGGGAAGCGGACCTCCAGAGCTCAAACACAATACCCTAGCGTTAACTGACTGCGCTGGCGGAGGTAGCAGGCGTTGCCACACCGCTGTCAGACACAGCCAGAGGGGAGAAACCAGTACCACTTTAAGAGAGATTTTAAGGTATTTGGGGGGGGAGGAGAATAGAAGAATAAAGAGGAATGAGAAAAAAAAAGATGTTTTGCAACCACCAACAGCAAAATAGAAAGAAATAAAATGGTAAAGAGGAGTGAGTGGGCAATTGGCGACCCACTCACTTGTTTCATCCCCAGGGCAAAGCATCCAAACTCCTTCAGTCCTTGGCGTGGGAAGCGGACCTCCAGAGCTCAAACACAATACCCTAGCGTTAACTGACTGCGCTGGCGGAGGTAGCAGGCGTTGCCACACCGCTGTCAGACACAGCCAGAGGGGAGAAACCAGTACCACTTTAAGAGAGATTTTAAGGTATTTGGGGGGGAGGAGAATAGAAGAATAAAGAGGAATGAGAAAAAAAGATGTTTTGCAACCACCAACAGCAAAATAGAAAGAAATAAAATGGTAAAGAGGAGTGAGTGGGCAATTGGCGACCCACTCACTTGTTTCATCCCCAGGGCAAAGCATCCAAACTCCTTCGGTCCTTGGCGTGGGGAGCGGACCTCCAGAGCTCAAACACAATACCCTAGCGTTAACTGACTGCGCTGGCGGAGGTAGCAGGCGTTGCCACACCGCTGTCAGACACAGCCAGAGGGGAGAAACCAGTACCACTTTAAGAGAGATTTTAAGGTATTTGGGGGGGAGGAGAATGGAAGAATAAAGAGGAATGAGAAAAAAAAGATGTTTTGCAACCACCAACAGCAAAATAGAAAAATAAAATGGTAAAGAGGAGTGAGTGGGCAATTGGCGACCCACTCACTTGTTTCATCCCCAGGGCAAAGCATCCAAACTCCTTCAGTCCTTGGCGTGGGGAGCGGACCTCCAGAGCTCAAACACAATACCCTAGCGTTAACTGACTGCGCTGGCGGAGGTAGCAGGCGTTGCCACACCGCTGTCAGACACAGCCAGAGGGGAGAAACCAGTACCACTTTAAGAGAGATTTTAAGGTATTTGGGGGGGGAGGAGAATGGAAGAATAAAGAGGAATGAGAAAAAAAGATGTTTTGCAACCACCAACAGCAAAATAGAAAGAAATAAAATGGTAAAGAGGAGTGAGTGGGCAATTGGCGACCCACTCACTTGTTTCATCCCCAGGGCAAAGCATCCAAACTCCTTCAGTCCTTGGCGTGGGATGCGGACCTCCAGAGCTCAAACACAATACCCTAGCGTTAACTGACTGCGCTGGCGGAGGTAGCAGGCGTTGCCACACCGCTGTCAGACACAGCCAGAGGGGAGAAACCAGTACCACTTTAAGAGAGATTTTAAGGATTTGGGGATTGGGGAGAGAATGGAAGAATAAGGAGGAATGAGAAAAAAGATGTTTTGCAACCACCAACAGCAAAATAGAAAGAAATAAAATGGTAAAGAGGAGTGAGTGGGCAATTGGCGACCCACTCACTTGTTTCATCCCCAGGGCAAAGCATCCAAACTCCTTCAGTCCTTGGCGTGGGGAGCGGACCTCCAGAGCTCAAACACAATACCCTAGCGTTAACTGACTGCGCTGGCGGAGGTAGCAGGCATTGCCACACCGCTGTCAGACACAGCCAGAGGGGGAGAAACCAGTACCACTTTAAGAGAGATTTTAAGGATTTGGGGATTGGGGAGAGAATGGAAGAATAAGGAGGAATGAGAAAAAAAAGATGTTTTGCACCACCAACAGCAAAATAGAAAGAAATAAAATGGTAAAGAGGAGTGAGTGGGCAATTGGCGACCCACTCACTTGTTTCATCCCCAGGGCAAAGCATCCAAACTCCTTCAGTCCTTGGCGTGGGAGCGGACCTCCAGAGCTCAAACACAATACCCTAGCGTTAACTGACTGCGCTGGCGGAGGTAGCAGGCGTTGCCACACCGCTGTCAGACACAGCCAGAGGGGAGAAACCAGTACCACTTTAAGAGAGATTTTAAGGTATTTGGGGGGGGGAGGAGAATAGAAGAATAAAGAGGAATGAGAAAAAAAAAGATGTTTTGCAACCACCAACAGCAAAATAGAAAGAAATAAAATGGTAAAGAGGAGTGAGTGGGCAATTGGCGACCCACTCACTTGTTTCATCCCCAGGGCAAAGCATCCAAACTCCTTCAGTCCTTGGCGTGGGGAGCGGACCTCCAGAGCTCAAACACAATACCCTAGCGTTAACTGACTGCGCTGGCGGAGGTAGCAAGCGTTGCCACACCACTGTCAGACACAGCCAGAGGGGAGAAACCAGTACCACTTTAAGGATTTGGGGATTGGGGAGAGAATGGAAGAATAAGGAGGAATGAGAAATAAAATAAATATTTTGTCGCCACCAACTTTATATAATTAGAAAGAAAGTTGAGAAACCCTAAGCTCAATTACAGTCAAAGTGTAGAGCAGGGTACCCTAATTTAGGCAGATTGAATTTAAGAAAGGCAATCTGCTCCATGAGATGAGGTGACATTTTGTGAGTGCTGTGGATTCAGTATATTACCGGTTACCGAAAACACACGCTCACTTGGGACAGTGGTTGGCGGACATGATGATAGCTCCTGCACAACCAATGAGAGTGCAGGCCACACACTCTTCTTCTCATCCCAATAGCTAAGAGGGTCGACATTATGGGGCAAAGGAGGTTCAGAGAGGTACGCTCTGACCATTTCTGAGGCAGTACTCTCCTGTCTGCTGCTAGCACTCTCAGTGGGTCCAACTATATCCTCAAGCAACTCTTCCCAAAATGCAGCTGCTCCACTCAGTTGTGTGGTGGTGGTGGTAGTGCCACTGCTTCTGCTAGAAGTAGCCGACATCTCAGCCTCCTGCTGAACTACTCCCTCAGACAGCATTCCCCTCTTTTGCTGCCAGTCACACACCCTCTGGATCAATTTCTCCCTCCAATTTGTTAAGTTATTGGATCTGAGTGCAAGCTTTCCCTTAATCCTTGGATCACACAGGCAAGCTAGCATCAGTTCAGGAGAATTATCCATTCGCTCACGTAGGCGAACTTTAAGCTGATCCTTCAGCCTCCTGACCAGAGTTATTACATCAGGATGTAAAGGATCACCTTGAACAACCTCTTGGCGTTCAAGGAAGACACCCATCTTGCTCCCTAGATGGGTGAAAACAGGGATTACCTGTCCCAGATTGGCAGTGTTCAAGCTTAAATTTTCAGTGGCATCCCTGAATGGTTTCAGGATTGCCACTAGCTGAGCGATCACTGTCCAATCGTCTCTACCTAGTGGAGAACCAATACCGATGTATTGGTCTGATGCCAGACTATGGATTGCCCTCTGCTGCTCTAAAATCCTCTCCAGCATCTCCAGAGTAGAGTTCCACCGTGTACTGACATCTTGTCGTAGACAGTGTATGGGAAGACCTGCCTTCTCTTGTTCCTGCCTCAACAGTTGGCTAGCCTTCACACTGCGGTGGAAGTGCCCAGCAATCCTCCTGCACCGTTCAATCACACTGGAAACTCTGTTATTACCTTCTGGGATTGCTGACTTTACTACTAGATGGATAATGTGCGCTGCTCAGCGCACACCAACAAGGTTACCATCACGCAAAGCTTTCACCATATTTGTAGCTCCATCAGTAACCACAAACCCCACTTCTACATTGGTGCCTGCCTCTGCTCCAACCCAAAGAGACACCATCCTCCTTACTGCCTGTAGAATGTTATCTAAAGTGTGTTTTTCATCCATCACTTCAGCATGGAGAAGGAAAGAGCGATAGCCCAGCTGATCTACAGATACACTTCCTCCCTTTCTGCTAGACCCTGCTGCTGAAGTTGCAGCAGCAGCTTCCTGAGACACACCAGACTCCCACCAGTGTGCTGTAAGGGAAAGAAAGGCATGCTGGCCACTTGGTGCACTCCACAAATCTGTGGTAAAATGCACAGACTGACCAGCAGCCTTCGAAAGCTCCCCTTTCACTACTCCAACACAGGACCGGTAAAGTGAAGGGATTATCCTCCTGCTGAAAGTGGAGCGTGAGGGAAGATGGTATTGTGGAGCCACAGTCTCCATCAACTGTTTGAAAGGCTCCCCTTCTATCATAGAAAAGGAAGCACCCCCAACAACAATTAACTGGCCAATAAGTTGCGTAATTTTATTGGCCTGCTGTTTAGACATAGCCCTGGAGTGGAATCCCCAAATTGTTCCAGGGTGGGCTGGATGCATTGTGATGCTCCAACCAGTCTTGGTTGTTGGCTGGCAGCACCAGTAGCTCTTGGCTCTGCAACACCTCCCCTGTCACTTCTAGCTGCCATGGTACTGGACACTGTAATAGTAGCTATGCTGCCTGTCCTAGTACTTTCTGCCTCTTCCCTCAATAACACAGCCTTGTGATGACTGCGAAGGTGATGGTTCATCCCTGCACTGGTGAGATGACCCAACACTCTCCCCCTGCTAACTTCCTTCCCACAAAGTTTGCGCTTTGCAAAGCGCCCATCTCCAACACTTTCAAAGTGATCCCAAACTTTGCTGCGGCGCAAAACATTGGCGCTTGCCCTTCGGGATTCTGCTGCTAGTGGTGCAGGTTGATGAGCAGCAGGAGGAGTGTGACTACTGGTAGCTGGCACAGTAGCCTCGGCACTGGTACTGTGGCTAGTAGTACCAGTGGTGGTGATGATTGTTGGCACAGTTACTCTGGTGGTGGTAACTGTGCCACTGCGAGGAGGAACAGTGGATCTGGAAATAGTAGTGGTAATAATTGATTGTGGTGGTGGTGGTGGTCTGCTAATGGTTGAAGTAGCACTAGCAGGTGCTACTATTGGAGAAAGTGGAGAGGAAGGGGAAAAATGTGCACTTGTAGCAGGAGAAAAGGTTGGACTGCTCCCTGAAGAATGCTGACTTTCCTCTATATCTCCTCCTCACTCTCAGGCTCATAGTCAAGCTCTTCATCAGCCAGACTAAATGCAATCCCTGCAAGGCTGGGGGTAAGACTGATATCACCTCCAGGAATAATAGGACTAGGAGCACTGGGTAGCATTGGCAATGGCAACAACTCCTGTGCTGATGTGCCGCTGTCAGTGGTAGAAGCATGCGCAGCACTGGTGGTGGTGGAAGTGGTGGTCTTGGGAGGGGGATTAGGAAAGAGCCTCCTTGTACAAGAAGGAAGCTTCTTAGCAGCACGACTCACAGGCCTGCTTGTGGTATAGGAAGATGCTGGGGGCAAAACACGCTTCCTCTTACTTATTGGGCTATTCCTACTACTAGTTGTGTTTTTAGTAATAGTACTAGCCATAGTGCTCACCCTTAAAAGCCCTGCTGGTTTCCCTTTGCCATAGAAAAGACTTCCAATTCTGGGCCTTGCTGCACTAATGCCTACTATTGGTGCCTTTCCTTGACCAGGATCTTGCACCAACGGGCCTGAAATGCGAGACAAAGACTTTGGCCTCCTATGCGGTGAGTCTGACATAACGGCACTCCTGGACCGCTTAGGCTGACGCATAGGCTGCGTACTCAAACTACCACTACTTGTGGTGGTGGTGGTGGTGGTATTGGTGGTGGTGATGGTTGCTGACTGACCCTCCCTCACTTTACTAGTGGATGAAGGTTTAGGAGGATCCATTTAGAATTTTAAAATAGTAAGAAAAGAAAAGAAGTTGAAGAAAAGAAAAGAAAGAGATAATGTAATGTATGTAGTGTTTTCAAACTAACGTTTATATTTTTATTAAAAAGGATTATTTGATATTTGGAACACAGTTAAAAAAAAATAGAGACTACTACTGAGGCAGATTTCTTCACTCTAGTGCTTTTTGAGGAACTATGGAAAACTGCACTGTCTGGCGTGAGCAATCTGCCAACAAGTGCTGCCTGCTCAACTACTGCAGTGCAAACAGAGTATGAAAAAAATGTACTAATATAGAAAAATAAAATAATAAAAGATTTCCTACAGCTACCTTGAAGCTTAGGTTAGGACAGTCTCACAGTCAATCTATCAGGAACTAAAATAAACCAAATAAAAACAGCAACCAGTTAGCTTCACTGATTGCTGTTAAACAAACACACTAACTGAACTAATAAAAATCAGTTAATGAAAAAAGAAATTTCTTCACAACAGCAGTCAGAACAGTTAACTTCACTGCTGATGCTGATGTGAGCACAGAAAAATGACACTAAAAGTGTTAAAAAATTTAAAACAAAAAATAGACTGTTTGACTGACTAATGTGTTCTGTCCTAACTAAGGACAAAGAGACTGTACTACAACAAATATATTTTAAACTGAAGATAATTTTATCAACTTAAATTTTTTTTTTAATTAAAACTGAAGATAATACTATTAACTGAATAAAAAATATTTCTTCACTTTTACACTGACTGCCTGCAAAGCCAGCAAACATTAGATTAAACTAACTCTATGTGGACTGGAGTATAGATATAGATTCACTTAAAAAAAAGAATTTAAAACCCAAGCAAACACACTAAACTGAGACTGACAGAAGATGAACTTTCTCTAGCAGCACTGCAGAAACAGCAGCACCACTGTAAAATCAAGTTAACAAAAATCAACTAATCAACTTTGCTGCTAAAAGACTCAACAGCTAAACTAGATTAAGATTTATTTTCTTCTAGGCTAGCAAGCTAACAAGCTAGTCTACCCCTAGGGCAGAAGCCCTCAGGCCCACTAAGCTAAAGACTGATTCTATCTTTACTTTAAATCTTAATTAATTTTAAGCTAAATAATTTTTTTTTAAATAAAAAGATTTAAAAAAAAAAAAGTAATACCTGGTTGCTGTAGTCAGTAAGCAAGCAGGGAAGGCAAGCACTGGCAGTGCCAGCCAGGCACCTTGTGGCACACTGACTCAGTCAGCAGCACAGCAGTGCACTGCTTTCAAAAAGCACTAAAATTAAAAAAATAATTCTCAGGAATAGTCTCTCAAATTGAACAAGTGAGAACTGGCAGACACACCAAAACTCACAGAAGATCTCTAAGACAAGCAATGAGGCTAACACAGCACAAAAGCACAGTGTGTCACCAACAAAACTCAGTCAAAGAAGGGGGGAGAAGGTTCCACTGCCTGCTTTTATACTGCTGTTTAGTTATTTTTTAAATCCCCGATAAAGCACTCACCATTGGATAAGCCCCTACAGCATCATGTCACAGGAGTGAGCTGATTAGTTAAATGAAAATCAGCTCACTCCCATACCCCTCCTCTTTGATTCATACAAGGCATCCGAATGAACTAAAACACGAATTGAGGCAAATCAGTTCATTTTAGTTCATTAGTTCATTCGGTTTTTCTTCCATCCCCATGTAAAGCAATGCAATGCTTTGAAAAAGCACGAATGAACTAATACACGAATTGAGGCAAATCAGTTCATTTTAGTTCATTAGTTCATTCGGTTTTTCTACTATCCCCATCTGTAAGCAATGCAAAGCTTTAAAAAGCGCGAATTGTTTGTGCGTTCGGTTCGCGAACGCTTCTCGTTCGGTAGTTTGCCTTATGAACATTACACTGACAGCCTGTAATTCAAAAAGCCGAACTAGTTATACGAATGAATGAAAGAATGATATAGACATTGCTATTCATTCAGTTATTCATTCGGTTATTAGTTCGGCTTTTTGAATTACACAGTGTGCTGTGTCAATTCGCACAGAGTGTAATTCAAAATGCCGAATGAACGAACAAACGAAAGATTTTCGGTAAACGGCCATTCGTTTGTTCGTTCTTTAGTTTGGATACCCATTCTTTATTCGGTATTCGTAAGAATGGAAGAAAATGCATATTTTCGGACGAAAATCAATTCGGACGAATACGAATGCCCAAGTCTAGAGATTACTAGTTAAACAAACAAAAATTAAATGAGAAGTATTTACAATGGAAAAATATTTGGAAAATAACATCCCCCCTAGGGGCTTACATTTCTTTAAAATTCACACATTCGATAGAGATGATTTGGAATTCATTGATATTTGGAATTCCGCTTTGGAATCTTTCTCTGTGAGAATAATGAAAATTTGTATTCAACAGAGAAAGAGGAACCTTCAAAAATTTGATATTGAGCTAAATGAAATTAAAGAAAAATGAAAGCCATAAACAGGATGTGATGAAGTAGAAAAAAAGTCTAGAAACAATAAAAGATCATGTGGTAAAAATTGTGCAAGAAACAGTAGTCATAAAAAATAAAAAGAATTTAAGAGATAAGAATGACTACGCCTTTAACAAAGTCAGATCTTTTTCTAACAAATCTAAATTACAAAATAGACCCCAAATATAGGAGAGGGATGCACACATCCAACAAAAAGAGCCTTTTTACTCAAACCCCCCACCCCATAAATATCAAAGTAAACAATTCAATATGGGGCAACAGGGGCAATCTCTGAGCTATTTCACATAAAAAAAATAGACCTTTATATAGATAAAAATAGGTTATCCACAAAAAGGAAACCACTCCAAAAACAACCACAGAAAAAAAACACAGAATTCTGTACAGTTTACCCACCAAAATAGATAAAGAGTCTTGTCTGATAACTTGCCCGGTAATCCCATAACCGATTCATCCCCCTCTTTTTTAGGACAAGAAGCGAAATAACGGGTTTTGCACAAAAGAGAAGAGTTCAGGAAATAAGAGAGGAATTAGGGCAGGAAGAATCCTGGAGAGAAAGAAAAAGGGGCAGGATTTCAAAGCAGTAGGAATTTTTAATTTGACAGATAAAGTTTTAACAAAATCACAGATTGAGATTTTAGAATAAGGTTTTAAATTTGTTCCATCCAATTTTAACAGACCATTTGACACTTTTATAGATATCAACAAATTTATATGCAAGATGTGTATCCAATTATTTTTTAATAAATCAGCACCTTCAGAACCGAGTGAATGCACCCAGGAGTTTAACCACACCCTCCTTAAAAAGAAATCTACTTTTTTCTCAGGCAGTTTATAAATGGAGGTATGAAAGTCTTCGAATGTTTAGTCATTGAGGAAATAAGAAATGTAAAGAAAAGAAATGATAATAAAAACAATTGAAGTTTCCACCAAAGAAAAGCAATAAAAGAACTCCTGTCAGATAACAATATAATAATAAAACCGTCCGACAAAGGCGGGGGAGTTGTTATACAAGGTAGGGATGAATATATCCGAGAAATATATAGGCAGCTGAATGACTCTATTACATATAGACATCTGAAAAGTGACCCTACGGGGCAAATAAAGAAAGTATACTATGCATTTTTAGACAAGTATAGTGTTCTCGGTATTTTGAACAAAAATTAATTCCAATATTTGAATGTGGTTACCCGTAAAATCCCAGTCTTTTATACACTCCCAAAGGTATAAAAAGATATAAAGAACCCACCCGACAGGCCGATAGTGTCGGGTGTAGGATCACTCTTGAGTAACCTATCTGAGTATATCAACAAACAATTGCAACCCTTGGTTGTGCCCCAACCATAGTACCTAAAAGACGCTACCTCGTTGTTGCAATTTCTTAATAATGTCAAATGAGAAAATAATTTTTTATTAGTCACCTGCGACGTCACAAGTCTATACACTAGTATACCTCATACTTCAGGGTGTAAAGCGGGAGAACACTTTCTAAGACAACTAGGTGAAATAAAAGAGGAACAGATTATATTTATTTTAGAAGGCATCAAGCTTATTCTTTGTAATAATTATTTTTGGTATGATGATAAGTTTTTCCTTCAATTAAACGGTAATGCGATGGGAGCCAGATTCGCACCCAGCTACACCAATTTATTTATGGCCCCCTTGGAAAACCCATTTCTTATGGAGGGCAGTGGC